GGGGGGATAACAACGCATAGTCAAGCATTTTTGAACTAACGAAAGCATTGTACAATTACAGCATTTTCTTGCACCTGTTTTGTTCCTGGACTATATTCTTTGCTGTGACATGTTATTTTGTCGATAAGTTACGTTTTATTTTTTCTTTGTGACTGTAATAATACGTTCTTCTAATTCTTTCGAGAAACTAAAATGTATTGATTGTCAAGTGGCAGGCAAATAAATTTCCTATGGGACTATTCCTGAAAGAAACTTATACTTAAATGAGCTTAAAACAGCGATATATTGTGTGAGTCTGAAGACTGTGATGTAAAGCAGACTACAATAAATTTGTCGAGACAAAAAAACAATGAGACATACTCCATGAAAACTGAAAATTAAGACTTTGCGGAATACAGCGGGTAGTAACTCGTTCACTTTCGTCTGACCGCGTTTAAAAAGAGATTTTTAAAAAGTGTCTTTACAAACTTCTGGGTCTTTTCATGCGGGAAAAAAAGTTAAGCCTCCGACAGAAGCCCATTCATAAAAGTCACCGCAAACTAAGGTTCAGACACGTTTTCTTTGATGTGAGCCTAAAGGGGGTTAAAAAAAAACATAACGAATTTACAGCATTCACTTAAAACATTTAAAAATTAAAAGTTGACATAATATTTTCCCCAGCACCACTCTTTAACGCTCGCCTAAGAAGTACGATTCAAGAAACGGGGTGAGTATTTTCGAGACTCATGTGGAGCACATGGAGACCTCTTGACACTGAAATTTGGGGGCGGGGTGGTGTCGCAGTGTCGCTATCTCAAAATGAGCAATTCGTGGGCAAGGCTACTGTAGATCTAAGTCATGTATACTATTAGTGATCCTGTGTAGGCATCCAAAGAGCGGTTTTTAATATAAGCCCCAAAAAAGCAACACTTTTTTATTACTCGGTCAAGATTTTTATTTTTTATTTTTGTTCAGTCGCTGGCCTGCAGAAGTGCCATGAAAAGTTTCGTTGGCATAGGTTCATTCCTCAAGGAGCTAGAATTTTTTGACGCGGTCGGGTGAAAGTGAACAAGCTGTAATAGTAGTGCAGCGCTCCAAGCAAACATTACCTCGTGTCCAATAACCTCTCTAACGGTGAAAGGGTAAAGAGTTTCTGTTCCATCTCCAAATGAGCTGGTGAAGCCATCCCAGAAAGCGTTGTTGTAGTTAATTCCATAGTGGACATTCAGCACATGGGGCTCGTTGGCGATGTTTTCAACTCCAGCCCAGTCCTGTGTGTGATATTTTGGACACATCATTCGACAACCTTCCCAAAAAAGGCTACTTTTTGCCAGCCCATTTCAGCTCTCATTATCAAAAGTATTCGTGTACTTGAAAGAAATTTGACTCTTTTTTTTCATTTCTTTTGTGTGTTCTGTGTGAATGTGTTGGTGCACCCATGTGTGTGTGAGTGTGTGTGTGTAGCAGCAGCAGCAGCAGCAGCAGCAGCAGCAGCAGCAGCAGCAGCAGCAACAACAACAACAGCAGCAGCAGCAACAACAGTAGTAGTAGTAGTAGTAGTAGTAGTAGTAGTAGTAGTAGTAGTAGTAGTAGTAGTAGTAGTAGTAGTAGTAGTAGTAGTAGTAGTAGTAGTAGTAGTAGTAGTAGTAGTAGTAGTAGTAGTTAAGGTACTGAACAAATAATCAAATCTATCAGCTAATTGTCCTGAGCTCTGCAATACAGCAAATCACCAGTTGGGGAACATGATAGAGAACATTAATAATAGCATTTATGTGCATAATTCACTCCAAAACAATACAATAATACGTCAGTTGAGAGAGTGATGTAAAATGTAATGATTTGCTTAATATATGAGCGTATCTATATTTTAACGTGTTTTCGAAAAGTATACAAGACTATTTCACAGTTACTTGCACATTTTTTCTGGAAAGGATTCAAATCCAAACCACAACACATTTCGTCCGCTTACGGAAATAAAAAAAAAAAAGCAGTGCGGCTTACAAACATCAAGTCGTAGAACCTTTGACCGTAAAAAAAGGCATCAGCTGATGGGGAGGAGGCGCCGTTGATGGCGTCGCCGAGTCCGTCAGCACAATTGAATGTCACCACCTGAAATGTTCAACGTGAAGCAGGCTATCAGTATAACGACATCGTTATTAAAGACGGTGGATGTCTAACGCTCCCATCATTTCAAGCTCAGTTTGATTTTTCGTGCCAGCAGACAGACTCCGATATTGGATACTATAACTTCCCCAATAGGACACTAAACTGATATCTTTTGTGTGAAACAGCCAAGAGCCCAATCATTGAGCACCACAGACGTCAGGTTCTGTTACTGCAGTTTTAACTTGCAAAAAAAATCATAGGGAACATATTAGACACAGTTATACAGTTACTATCTCTTATAACATAATATAGTAAAACTAAATTTAAAAAAAAACAACTGAACAATGTTGCGGGGAGAAAGAGGGGGCAACAGGGTTTACCAGCAGTCCGACCATCTTCGTTCTTTTTTTTAATTCAAAAAATGTATGTTAAGGTATAAACGCTGGCATCTGAAACCATAATTTGTCCCTGTTCACACAAAAAAACCCAACAACAACGAAGTGATAATAGATTTCTAACTTACCTCAGCGAGTTCCCTGTTATACTGGTTCTTGACAGTCTTGACAATGATTCTGTCACTTTGGAGGGAGCATACGTCACCGTCGACCTTAACGTTCAGGCAGGCCTGTAAATGGTATTTTAGATAACCGATTACAATGTTATTCTTTTATTCTGTATGTAAAGAATGATTTCTAGCTCGTGTTCTAAAAAACAAGTAGAGAACTTTGTGTAAGTATATCTCTCAATTTTTTAAAAGTTTGAGGGAGTTAATATGAAGGTATAGTTTAACGTAAATTGTTTTTCTCAAACAAAACTGTGACTTGAAGATGTTAACTCGAAACAATCTCGTCAAATGATACGATAAATGTGTGCGTATGTAGTGTGCCCGAAAAGTAAGTCTGTATGTTTATTTGCCCGAGTGTCCGTGCATGAGTGTGCATTTGTGAGCATTTTGTTCTGGTGCAATTCATGCGGGTAAAAAAGTTAAGCAACTGCATAAGGTCATATGAGCGCCAGGACACATTAACCATTTTCAGTTTTGAATTTTGCCCGGGTGGCAGCCGAAGCCTACTCTTAACAATTTTGGATCAACAAGGGATCTTTAACGTGCGTAACTTGCACTCGTGACCTCCAAGTTTTTCGCCCTTATCCGAGAAGGCTAGGTTTTAGATCTTACCTATCCTAAGATCAGGGGTATGGCTGAGAGACAGCAGTAAGGAGGAGCCAATGAGAAGTAGATAGGCTGCAGAAAGAGTCAGGAGCCAAGAGGAGGGGTAAAAAGGGGGGGGGGGGGCAGAAAATGGAGACGAAAGCAGACGACATGACAGAGCATGGTTAGTTGGAGAGCATGAAAGGGGGTGAAAGGAGGTTTTAGAGCAGAACATTTTCCGTCGCTGTCAGGTTTCGAACCTGGCACCTATTAAATGAGAGGTGAACACCGTGGCCTCAAGACCATGAGAGACCCTACCTATGAGGGTGAATCCCGGTGAGTATTTACTTTTTAAATTATTTGCTCATCTTATTACCATGTCTATGAATCTCACCTCGTTAGGTCCGGGACCATAAGAAGGACCATGGATCTTTCCATTGCCACCTGCAGCTGCTGGGCACTCTTTTTTTGAGCCGTCAGCCTGCAAGAGAAACGACAAAAAAAAAAAAACATTCGTTGTTATTCTGTCAAACTTTTTCAAACCTGTCTGGCAAAGAAAGACGCAGTTTTGATAATTTTCAGTTTCCAATCAACATGGTAACAGTGTCTTTCGTCGTCAGCTGCAGGGAAAATGTTAAGGTTGTGTTCTCTGGTGGTAGTGGGGGTGGGGGAGGGTATAAAAAGAGGATTTTTAATACAAAGTGAAAGACAAAGAGGGGGAGGGTACCGGTGGTGGTGGTACGAGTAATGGTGGTAGTGAAGGAGGAGGAGTAGAAGGAGGAGGAGTAGAAGGAGGAGGAGTAGAAGGAGGAGGAGTAGAAGGAGTAGAAGGAGGAGGAGGAGAAGGAGGAGGAGGAGAAAGACGAGAAGGAGGAGAAGGAGGAGAAGGAGGAGGAGGGGGGAGGTGGGGAGAAGTGACACAACGACGACGATGAAGGGAATAAGGTCAGAGAAGCGGAAGAGGATTAGAAAACCGATCTACAGTAAGAACCTTTTAGAAAGACAAATCTACAGCAGTCTTACGTCTCGCTTGGCAATACCGCTGTGGCGTCTCAGCTCGATGCTACCGTCAAGCACACTCAAGGTATTGGCGTCAATAATCACTCGTGGTGTGCGAACATAGGCTTTGTCACTGAGTGCTGGGGAAGAGTGATACCACGGGGGCTACGTGTTATATAACAGAGAAATGTAATAACACACTACGATGGAGAGAGAAGAGGAGGAGGAAGAGAGAGGGAGAGAGAGTAAGAGAGAAAGAGTGAGAGGGAGAGAGGGAGAGAGAGAGAGAGAGAAAGAAAGAGAGAGAGAGAAAGAAAGAGAGAGAGACAGACAGACAGACAGACAGGCAGACAGACAGACCAACTTTGGTTCATGGTAATACGTTTTCAGTGGAATAGTTATCCTTTTCAGGGTACACACAAAATTTGGCGTTACGAAAAAAAAAAGACCCTCTGTAAATGTTAAATTAAACCTTTGTTAATAACATCTTTGAAGTCTAACATGCTCAATGACAACAAAGCTAGTTAAGTATTATGTGCCACTGGCATTTCTCCAACCATTGTTCCATTGCGTAGGGTTCAAAGCTGTGAGCCCAGTTTCTGCTATCTTTTGGGCAGATTCCAGGTTCAATTTCACCCCCTCCCCCCACAACAAAACAACAAATGAATCAATAAATCAATACGTCAAAAGATTACAACACCAACGTGGCGAAACACACCAATATCAATTAGACATTTTCCATAGTATGCAAGACTGGGTTCTCCGGTCTCGATGTTTATGTAGATCTGTTTAGAGAAGGAGCACTCTTTAAGATCTTTCGTCTTGATTTTTCCAAAGAGTTGTTTCGCCACTGGGTCCGTCGCCTTGACCGTGTCTCTGGTGTACTCGGCTGTTTTGGACCTCAGTTTTGAAGTTTTAACCTGAAAAGTGAACGAGTGTGTCGAAATAACTATTGTTTCCAAGTCACAGGCAACGCTCGTCAATAATGATAGGGGAAAGTAGAAATACATTACAGCCAAGCTTGTAAAACGCACATTTATCGTTTTCTTTAACGCAATATCTAAATCTATACGTTTGGATCTGACAGAGACACATTAACTCAGAGGAAGAGAAATGAGATTTTTTAAACCTGTGGTGTATTCCCTTTAGCATCAACGAGTGATGATAAAGGTTAATCAGACATGGACAGAAATCAGATTAACACACCATGACGTTCTTACTATGAATGTTTCGAACAGTGACCAGAATGTCTGAAAAGACACCCAGCTGCACATGAAAGCAACGAAAAGAAAGAAAAAGTTATGTATGTGGGAGTATATGATATAATTATATAT